ATTCACTGGTGGTGGGAATGTAAAATGGTGCAGCTGCTGTAGAAAAGAGTTTGACAGTTTTTCAAGAAGGATGGAATTCTTGGGGCACCTGGGTGGCTCAGTGGGTTAAAGCCTCTGCCTTCGGCTCAGGTCATGATCCCAGGGTCCTGGGATCGAGCCCCACATCGGGCTCTCTGCTCAGCGGGGAACCTGCTTCCTCCTCTCTCTCTCTCTGCCTGCCTCGCTGCCTACCTGTGATCTCTATCTGTCAAATAAATAAATAAAATCTTTAAAAAAAAAAAAAGAAGGATGGAATTCTCATGTAAGTCAGCAATTCCACCCCTAAATATCTAAAGAAAACTAAAATATGATTCAGCTATAAAAAGGAGTGAAGTACTGTTACATACAACAACATGATGAAACGTGAAAATGTTATGAAAGCAGTCAGTCACAGAAGGCCACAATATTGTATGACTCCATTTACATGAAATGTCCAGGATGAGCAAATCCATAGAGACAGCAAGTAAATTAGTTGCCAGGGGATGAGAAGAGGAGAAGTTAGCACCACTTAACTGCTAAGAGAGGGGTGCCTGGGTAGTTCAGTCATTCTGCCTTTGGTTCCAGTTGTGATCCCAGGTCCCTCGGATTGAGACCCACATCCGGCTCCCTGCTCAGTGGGAAGCTTGCTTCTCCCTCTCCTACTCCCACTCCTACCGTTCATGTTCCCTCTCTCGCCCTGTCTCTCTCTGTCAAATAAATAAATAAAGCCTTAAAAAAAAATAAACGCTAAGAGATACAGGATTTTTGGCGAGAGGGGGTGATAAAAATGTTCTGGAATCAGATAGTGGTGATGGCTGTTCAACATAGTGAGTATACCATAAACTACTGGTGTATACTTTAAAATGATGAATGTTATATGAATTATATATCAATAAAAATTCCTGAAATTAAAAAAAAGAGAACTATTAGAAAGTACATGAGATAATTAGAAGATATGAACAAAGACTGTCCATTTGATGGTGAAGGAATTATCAATTCTGAGAAATACGATAATACTATTATAGTTTTTTAAAAAGTCTTTCTCTTTGGGGTGCCTGGGTGGCTCAGTCATTAAGTGTCTGCCTTCGGCTCAGAGCATGATCCCAGGGTCCTGGGATCGAGCCCCGTGTCGGGATCCCTGCTCTGATGGAAGCCTGCTTCTCCCTCTCTCACTCCTCCTGCTTGTGTTTCCTCTCTTGCTGTGTCTCTGTCAAATAAATAAATAAAATCTTTAAAAAAAAAGTTTTCTCTTTTAAAAATAATCATTGAAGTATTTATAGATGATATTTCAGATTTGTTTCAAAATAATCTAGTATGGGGTACTAAAGTATATAAGGGAATATAAGTGAAATAAGTAGGCTTGTTTTAAGAATTATTAAAGCTTGGTAATTAACAGGTAGTGCATTACCTTTGTCTCTGTTTGAAATTCTTAATAATAAAAAGTTTAAAAAAGCACTATTTTGTAACTATAGTGAAATAAAGGATCTAGGAAATAATCATCAATGAAAAAAAACCACTGAAGAAAGATTAATGGGAATTTTATTATGGGTGAATCAAGGTGATTAATACCTGAACCAAAAATCAGATCATTTTGTGTTCTTGAGGGGATGCGATAGGAACTATACACACTATCTATGAGGTATGCTTATCAAAAATTTGAATGAGAATCTAATCAAGCCTCTAACTTTACCAGTTTCATAGCAAATCTGAAGAACAGAGAAATCATTTGAAGGACACCACAAGAAACAAATCAATTAACTCCTGAATATGAAATACGCTTACAAAACAAATACCTCTGTTTTCTCAAAAAATAAATTACAAAAAAAGGGTGAAACTTAACTAGATTTAAAAAGACTTAGGATAGGGCGCCTGGGTGGCTCAGTGGGTTAAGCCTCTGCCTTCGACTCAGGTCACGATCTCAGGGTCCTGGGATCGAGTCCCACATCAGGCTCTCTGCTCCGCAGGGAGCCTGCTTCCTCCTCTCTCTCTCTCTCTGCCTGCCTCTCTGCCTACTTGTGATCTCTGTCAAAAAAAAAAAAAAAAAAAAAAAAAAGACTTAGGATATATATAAAAAGTATTATAATGTATAAGCCTTGTTTTAATCCTGATTTTAATAAGCCAACTATAAAAGGATATTTTGAAACAACCGTAGAAATGTGAATATGGACTGTGTAAAAGATATTATTATGGAATTAGTATTAATTTTATAAGGATGATAATGCCACTGTGGTTATGAAAAAAGTCATTATCTGTTAGAAATACATACTGACGAATTTTCTGATGAAATGACATGTCTGGGTCCTGTAAAACATGCCAGGAAAAAAAATACACAGATACACACACATATGTACATATACATATATACATACGAAGCAAAATTAACAAAATGTTAATAATTGTTGAACACAGAAGTTCATTGTATTATTCTATTTTGTGTTTGAAAATTTCTGTAATAAAAGGGGAGAGAAGGGAAGGAGAGGGAAGGAAGGAGAGAGGAAAGTAGATTTGCACCAAATCAGTAAGTAGGACTGCAGAATGAGAGCTATAAAATTTCCCAATGTCCTGAAACTCAAAGTTCTTTCTAATTTCAGGAGGTGGGAGAAGTCTTGTCCCAGAGAGATAAGACAAGTTTAGGCCCTAGGAATAGTCAGAAGTGTCCTACCAATAGTAAGGGAGTAATCTAGCCTGGGCATCCATGCCTAAATTAGCAACCTCCCCCACCTTCCCCAATTCGCACTGCTATTCCTTCTAGCAGCAAGCCTACTGAGTTGGCCTTGGTAGGAAGAATGGTCCTTCCCTTCCTACCTGTAGCATCTGCTTCTTCCATTCCTTCTCTGAGGTGGCCTGAACAAGATTATGTACATGATTAGGTAGCTAGCTATCCCTATAAATTCATCTGAATTGCCACTGGCAGCAGTTTGTAATAAATAATTCATCTTCATTTCTAAAAATTCTTCTAGAAACAGTATTTGGATGACAATGACTTGAGCAGCTAAAATATTGTAGGTGATGAAAAACTGGAACATTCTTTAACTCCTCACCACCCCCCAACAATGTGGGATGGTTCAGCAAATGATGGTACTTGTAGTATATATTCCAGATATTAAAGGAAGGTCACAATAGCATAGCTGTTTTCTCCATTAGGAGACTCCTAAAGAAAATGACTTTTGCAGACTTTCCCTAACATCATGGAGCATTTATCTCTATAAAGGTCTGTAGATGCTTTAGGAACACCAGGATTTGGGAGTTTAGAACATCTCTGAGAGGAAAGAGCAGCAGATGAGAATGAATAGGTTCCACTTTAACCAACTGGTATATAAGGGCCATCTCCTTTCTGTGGATATCAGTCTTCTTCCTTCAGTATCATACTGGTAAGGCAAAATGACCTTAGAGTTACTACTAGTTCCTCTGCAGTTTTACAGCAATTAGGTACTCTTGGAATTATAGGTATATCATGAATGTCTGATTTTCCTTTGCATGGGCTAAGATGTTACTGGAGTAGATGGAAGCATAAGTGTAGTGAAGGAGAGAATCCTAGACTAAGCACCAGAACAAAAGCTCCCAGCTCTAAGACGTGAATATAGAGCTGCCAACAAACAATGAGGCAAGAATACAAAGGCAGAAATTACCAGAAATAGGTCAGAATATAGAAGAGAAATGTTGAAGAAAGGCCCAGGCTAGATGCTAAGAACCTGATATTAGCAGGGAATGGCCATGTGATATCAAGCTGAGTCAAGCTAAGTCTCCTTGGTTTAAAGGTACAGAATTGGGCCAAACATAACAATGTATTTTTCTATTACAGGATATTAGCTGTGGCACTGGCTACCTTGACATATCCTAATCCGAAGTAAAAATGTATTGAAAGCCTGCCATGATGACAATTGTACTTCAAGAAGAGGATGAATTCCTAAATGGCCAGTCTCTGCTATTCAAATAATGTTACCATCTCCCAAAGAACAGTTTGAGGGCAGGAAAGAACAATATTTCATTTTAAGCGGGACTACTCATCTACCAAAATACCATTTGACCAAAGAAACAGATGCAGAATTACAGTCACAGCTGCATTCTGTGTAGAACAAGTTGGATAATGGTACTCTAAATTGCTAATTACACTGCTAATGATTTTTTTAGTGGCATTGCATTATTTTCCCACTTTTGTTTAAATTTTTTTAGAAAAGCATCTTGGAAGTTTTAAAAATGGTAAATTGTTAAATATCACTGAGTTGTCCAAAGAGAAATTCCATATAACATCCATTTCTTGAAATGGCATTCTCATATGGAATTTTGTAGGAGTGCCATTTATTGACTAGCTATTTGTTTTAATTTACTTTCTCATCAATTTACTTGCATTTAAGATTAAGTAGCTCAATATTAGTATTTGTATCTAGCTCCACAATTGGTATGAAAAGATAATAAACCAACATATGTCTTGATATGTTGGCACTGGGAATGTACTATGACTAGATTTACAAAAAGTAATAGCAACAGTACATTTTTATTTTTATTGTGACAACCATGGTGAAATTTATTACACTGTTAGTATTTTATTGTTTAATTATGCCAGAATAGCTTAGGGAGGTAATTACATTTTTGATATAAAAGTGCTGTTAATGTTTTTATTTCAATTTAGCAGATTATAGAATACAGATTAAAGCACTGCCGTTGTTCCATATTGTTTCTTGTGCATTTAAGTGGTAGAATATTTTTTCCACAAATAGTAAATTCATTTCTACTGAATTATTTTATTAAGGTTTCTAAATAATTTGCCTCTTAAGTGAAAACCTTAATCTGGCCAGGAATTTCCATATATTAGATTTATAAATAATATTTTATATAGAAAATGGTGTACCAATCACAATAATGTCACAGTGTTTTTTGAAAATTTTTCTATTTATTAAGGTAAATTTCCCATAAATTAAATTTCCCGTAAATTAAAAATACATTCTTCTTATGCAATTACAAATTCACGGGTAAATACTTACATTTGCTTCTAACAGATGGTCCAATTTCAGTGATCTCTTAACACTGCCAACAAAATATTTAAAGAAATCTTAGGTTTATATGCTTTAAGTAGCCAAATATTTGAGAGTAATAAATATAAACAAAGATTCTGAGTTACTTTTGCCAATGAAAGCAGAATACCATATGAAGAAAGCAATTTTCATGACGATGAAACTGGATTCTTTAATAGTATATTTCAAAATGGAATAATTAAATATTCAAATGGATTTTTATATATGGTTTCATATACATTCACTATTGTACAATTCAAGCATTAAAGTCATATTATGAAATAATCTTAGTAAAAATGAATATATTTGTGTTTTAAAATAACACTATTGAAAAATTAAGCATAAAGACAAAATAATTTATACAACTTAATGGAGATGTTGAAAGTATATTATTTGCAGAAATAATGTACTAGGTATTAAAATAAAGGTATGAACAAGGTGAAAAGTTTTGCGCGTTATTCTAGATTTAAACATGATTCAGTGCTACCAGACTATGACTTAACTGAGGAACAGATGCTCTATGTCTTTATAAGTCCCCAATCCATAAGAAACTATTTTTTGTTTCCCTCACTAAACTGATTCAGGAACATGCCAGGCTCTCTCTGTGCAAAATCTGTTCTGCTAAACTGGATGCCCAGCTGTTGGTGACAAAGCTTAGAAAGGAAAGCTGAATATTTATAATACTTTATTTCGTACAGCTGTCTTCTAAAGAGCAGTCATCAACATTTTATTGAATGCAGGCTAAATGCTCAAAGGAGAAAAAAGGTCAATATAAATAAAACTAGTTTTCCCAGTAATAAATGCAGCATCAAAAGTACTTTCTTGATCCCTGAGAAAAAGAAATTACGTTATTTAAAATACTAGAGAATTTGAGCATAAAGCAAAAAGAGAGAGAGAGAAGAAAAAAGAAAAAGAGGATTATATTGTAAAGTTTATATTATAGAAAATTTTAAAAGTTTTATACATATTAGAAAATGTCTGTTCATAAATAACTATTTACTTTTTTTCCCTGAATATTGACTTTCAAACAAGTGACAAGAACAAGAAAAAATAGAAGAGATGGACAATTTACAAATATTACGGAATAGTAAATATTAAATACGTAATTTAATCTATCAAAAAAGGGCTCACTTGGGCGCCTGGGTGGCTCAGTGGGGTAAAGCCTCTGCCTTCGGCTTGGGTCATGGGATTCGGCCCCATGTCAGGCTCTCTGCTCAGCGGGGAGCCTGCTTCCTACTCTCTCTCTGCCTGCCTCTCTGCCTGCTTGTAATTTCTGTCTGTCAAATAAACAAATAAAATCTTAAAAAAAAATGTTTAAAAAAAAAGGGCTCACTTCATTTTGCTATTATATCTACGTTAGCTTATCACATAACATTTCTTGAGATTAATTAAATCACTTTGAAAAATAACTTGTATCTTTTAGACGTCCACTTGAAATAAATTTAATGTGAATTCTCAATGAAGCAAGAAGAGAAAAGAGGTATGAACAAATAAAACTGGCACATGATCCAAAAAAAGTGTATATATTTAGTTTTGGAATACATAGTACTCTATTCAGGTATATGAGATATTTGGTATTTTACAAAATTTCGAAAGTAGAAATCAAAAACTAAAAGTACACAGCACAGACTTTTTAAATGCTAAGATGTAATACTACCTATTAGAAGGAAATAAACCTCACCCTGATATTAATTGTTCAAAATATTACTTATTGACGACTAATTCTTAGAGAAAGTAACTTGATGTTTGGATTTAAGAGATGTCTGGTTTACATCCCACGTTTGATCTAAGCCCAAGGAAATATATAAGTAAACAAGAAACTGAGCAGACTTGGACTGTTATTTTCCACTTTAGCAGTTTAGTGAGAATCTGAAAAACATGATTTATTGTCAGTGATACAGTTTTCAGATAATTTAGGCATGTAAACTAAAACCTGGTAATATTTACAAGAATCATGAGAAGATTTAATAAATGAGACTAGGAGAAATCTAAGAAATCACTTAGTTCATCCAATATGGAAGAGTTGGTGTGATGTGCCCACTGTCCCACAGCTTAAAGGGCAGAAACTCAGATCTCAGGTCCTATGCACAACAAATCTTTATCGAATTGGGGAGGAGTTGACCAGCAAACCTACTAGAGGATTTTATGATGATCTATTAGAACTAGGCCCATTGTCAAAGTGTGTTATTGAATTAAGCACATACTGTATGCTTTTACTCTTTTTTTTAATCTACTCTTTTATCCATTAACAACTATAAGCATGAAATTATGTTACATGGAAGAGGATAATGTTAATAAAGAACAGAGAGGAAGAGATGGTTGAAACATACACTATAAAGAAAGAACAGACAAAACTTGATTAAATATATGGGGTAAATATTTTTCTAAAGTATTTACTCACTTGTTACCAGTGCCCATTGGCAATTAAAAGTGGTGTATCTCTGGTCGTTCTGTAAAGTTATAAGTAGTTTTAGGGGTTACTACTTTGATTTTTAAAAATGGGATAGGTCAAAAAGGACTCAGACATTTCTCCAAAGAAGATATACTGGTGGCCAATAAAATATTTAAAAAGTTCAATATCCTTAATATTAGGAAAAGGCACATCTGAACCACAAAGAGATACCATTTCATAGCCATTAGGATGTCTAATATCAAAAAACAAACAAACAAAAAAACAAAAACAGAGAAAAAAGAACAGAAAATGTTGGCTAGGATATGGAGAACTGGAATGTTCACGTACTGCTGGTGGGACTATAAAATGGTACAGCTGCTATGAAAAACAGTTTGGCAGTTCCTCAAAAAATTAGGTGTAGAACTGCCATATAATTCAGCAATTCCACTTCTGGGTATATATCCAAAAGAACTGAAAGCAGACCTAAACAGGTAGTTGTACACCCATGTTCATAGCAGTGTCATTTCCAGTAGCCAAAATGTGAAAACAATGCAAGTGCCCATTGACAGCTAAATGAGTAAACAAAATGTAGTATAGATATACAATGGTATATTATTCAGCCTTAAAAAGGAAAAACATTCTGATACATGCTACAACACAGATGAACCTTGAAGATAATGTGCTAAGTGAAATAAGCCAATATCAAAGGGGCAAATACTGTATGATCCACTCAAATTCATAAACACAGAAAATAGTGGTTGCCAAGGGCTGAGAGGAAGGGTGAATACGGGGTTAGTGTTTGATGGGTATAAAATTCCAGTTTTGCAAGATGAAAAAAGTTTTGGAGATAGATGATGGTGATAGTTGCACAGGGTGAATATATTTAATGTCATAGAACTGTACACTTAATGATTAAACTATAAACTTTGGGGGTGCCTAAGTGGCTCAGTTGGTTAAGCCTCTGCCTTTGGCTCAGGTCATGATCCCAGGGTTCTGGGATCAAGTCCTTTGTCAGGCTCCCTGCTTCTGCTTCTCCTTCTGTCCCTGCCCCCACTCATTCTCTCAATCTCTTGTTCTCTCTAATAATAAAATCTTTAAAAAAAAATAAATAATTTTTTAAATGGGCACTTATCTACTATATTCTAATTTCCTCCCTCCTATTAGTAATCTTATTACTTCTGCAGATTACTTCCCACTTCCAACTTCACCCAAATTTACTCCTATGTCCATAATTTAACTACCGTGCTTCATTTTCAGTTGTACTAAGTTTAGATTCATTGGGATGAAAATTCTGGTTGCTACCAACATTTTGCTCTTGAGAATTTAGGAAAGATAAATATATTTGACATACAACTTCATATCAAGAGGAATCGAAAGTAACTATGTTTGTAGGATTAGTCATATTACTGAGACTATCCTCCCCTATTTTAATTTAATTTAAATTTTATTTAATTTAAATAAAAATTATCACATGGTAGTATCCTGAATAGGATTCTCTGATTCAATAAGAACAGAACAAGTACAGGAGTTTTATTATACAAATTCATAAACACAGAAAATACTAACACTGGTGACAATATAAAAGAAATTACTCCAGAAAAAATGAATTTTCATTTGATTTATAATTAAGAATGAGGGGGCGCCTGGGTGGCTCAGTGGGTTAAGCCGCTGCCTTCGGCTCAGGTCATGATCTCAGGGTCCTGGGATCGAGTCCCGCATCGGGCTCTTTGCTCAGCAGGGAGCCTGCTTCCCTCTCTCCCTCTCCGCCTGCCTCTTTGTCTACTTGTGATCCCTCTCTGTCAAATAAATAAATAAAATCTTTAAAAAAAATAATTAAGAATGAGGAATAATACCTCAAAAAACACAAAATGAATGCTCTGAGCTTCTCTTTAATTTTTTTTTTTTTTGAGAGTATGCAAGTGGGCAGAGAGGAGAATCTCAAGCAGTCTCCATGCTCAAGGTGGAGCCCAATGTGGGGCTTGATCTCACGACCCCAACATCATGACCTGAGCAGAAATCAAGAGTTGGACACCCAACTGACTGAGCCACCCAAGTGTCCCTTTGAGCTTTTCTTTAAAAACAGTGGATCAGGGGTGCCTGGGTGGCTCAGTCAGTTAAGGGTCTGCTTTTGGCTCAGGTCATGATCCCAGTGTCCTGGGATTGAGCCCTGCATCAGGATCCCTGCTCACCAGGGAGCCTGCTTCTCCCTCTCCCACTCTCCCTGCTTGGGTTCCCTCTCTCACTGTATCTCTCTCAGTCAAATAAATAAACAAAATCTATAAATAAATAAATAAATACAAACAAAAACACTGGATTAAATATAATTTTGAATAGCAGAGCTGAGGGTAAGAGTGTGTGTGTGTGTGTGAGGAGACAGATAAACTTGGTAAAGCAGATAAGAGTCAAAGGGCCTTGATGCTAAGCCAAATTCCTCCCCTAAGCTTTGGCAAATTACAGAATTTCACTAAGCTTCATAAAGTTGATAATACTGGCCTGTAAACTAGTAGGTAATTTCTGAATGGAAGATAAAAATACCACTTACAATGTCAGTGCTTCCATTTACTTCTCACTATAATGGTGATGACAATATTTCA